CCCAGAGGTTGTTTCAGGCTTGGATCTGTGAGTTAGCCATGCCCTGACTTAGATCAGCCCAGAGGTTGTTTCAGGCTTGGATCTGTGAGTTAGCCGTGCCATGACTTACATCAGCCCAGAGGTTGTTTCAGGCTTGGATCTGTGAGTTAGCTGTGCCCTGACATTGATCAACCCATAAATTGTTTCAGGATTCATTCTTCAGTCTCGAACAAGATTGATACAAATGAAAAATACTCAGGCAACACGTAAATATACCTACCTGCAGTTTAATGCTCTCAGGCCATTCTACTATTTGTATGTTATGAATCTCTCCAAAATGAATGGTGAAGTCAGATGTGAGACGCCTTGAAAAATAAATAAAGTATAATGTTATCCTATATATTAGTCATTCCAAGGTGGTGGGAAAGACTGGGTCGAGCTTGCATTGCAGTGCATTGTGGGACTGTTTTAGAGGATGAAATAGACACCATCTTGGAAATACATCCCCTAAAACAGCCCATGATGCACTGCATAGCCAACTCTAGCCAGTCCCTAAACCTGTCTGTCCGTCCTATGCAACGTGCTTTTTGCCTGAAAACGCTTGAACAAGTTACTATCTTCAAAGATTTCACGTACTTTACAGATGTTTTGGAGACCTCCTTTTCATTGAATAAGACTTTGATGAATGCTGACCACCGCTGGACATCATTACGGCGAAGTACTTCAGTTCTAACAACCAAAACAATAAATCGTTTATGATTTACAGCTATTTTAAAGAAGGTTAGCAAAGGCTTTGCTGCATTCTAAATAATGTCAGCAAAGAAGAAAAAACGAGCACAGTCAGCTATGAAAAATAAAGTTAAAAACTGAAGGTGATGTTATATACGGGACGATTTTGCAAGGACAATTCTTTCTATTTGTTATACGCCGTTGCGGAAAAAGTTGATGCTGTGCCGTGCATACCACGTGCAACATGCCACGTGTAACATCCCTTGTGCAACCTACTACGTGCAACATGCCACGTGTAAAATCCCTTGTGCAACCTACTACGTGCAGAATGCCACGCGCAACATGTCATGTTCAGCATGCCACGTGCAAAATGCAACATGCCACGTGCAAAATGCAACATGCCACGTGCAACATGCCACGTGCAGCATTCAACATGCCACGTGCAACATGCAACGTGCACTGATTTTCGGCAACGTGTAATATTTCCATTATAACAACATTTGTTTTCTAAGACCTTGTCTACACGTATCCGTTTTTCCATGAAAACGCCAATTTTTTAAACCGTTTTTAAATATTTTCCCGCCCCACACACGTATCCGCAAAATAGGACTCGAGAACGCATTACCCTTCATAGAGCATGCATTCATCAGAAATATGGCGCGGTCTCAAACTGGTTCCAATACTCTGGATAGCAATTTTTTTTTTTAAAAGTTCGTTTTTTGGTGACTGTATTTGCTGGATACGTGTCGACGGAAGGCCAATCCGCCAACAAAAAGTTGCGTCGGTTTTCATGCAAAAACGAATACGTGTGGATGGGGTCTGAACTAAACATGTTTTTCTTTCTATGTCATAAAACAACTAGACCAGTTTTCTCTCAGCACCGTTTAGTAATACAGCCACAAAAAGGACCAAAGAAGTGTAAGACGGTGTTATTTTTGTTAAAGATAGTGATCCCGCAATTTTTCTCTACTGTATGTGAAGTAAATCATGACATACCTGGGGCACTGTTCTGGTGGTGTTATACTAGTGGTGTTGTGAACCTCTGGTATCAATATTGGTTCACCTAAGACAAAGAGACGAGTAGATAGATTCATGATTTATATACGGCGCCCTTATTCCATATATAAAAAAACCGATTACTCCAGTTTCGAGTTCTTTTTTGTGCAGACACATAGTGCAACATTAGACGCAACATTGCACGCAAAAAGACTGTTGTATTGTGTGTGTCTCATGGAACTTGTTGCACGCAACAAATCTGAAGTTGAATCGGGCGCTCTACTCGTGCAACATTGCGCGCAACAAATTTCATAGTGTGAACATGGATGCAACATTGCGTGCAACATTTTGAAATTTCCAGCCAATCAGCTTGCACCAAACTCATAACCGCTGACCAAATTTCATAGCATAGTAGGCTCGCACGAGAATTTGCGTGATTTTGCTGCAGTGTCACCTGATCAAATTTGATGCGCGCAGTGTTGTGTGCAATGTTGCACCGTGTGTCCGCGCCTTTAGTTTCGGTTGTGCGTTAAAATATTCAGCTATTCAAACAAAGTCCGTGGCATTTTAATCAACTCGTATTGTCCCGTAGTACTTACATTCCTTACTATACAATGGACCTTAATAATAGAAAAGAACACATTTGTACAGCATCGAGGCTAAGACTGAGCAAAGGCGAACTCGAAATGGAAGTATTGAGCCAATCGGGTATAGCGGTGGAATCAAGGGAAGGACCTAACAGACTTCTGCATGGAATCAAACCGATTTTACTACTGCCATTATTGATTCCCACAAAATTACCTGGTGTTCTACGCATTTTCCGCGCATTCTCTAGGATCTTTTGTCGCTCGGTTTCTTCGTCGAATTCTGCAGGACGAACCGGTTTGTGAGGTGCTAAAGTGGAAAGAGAATATTATTTAAAAAATACAATTCAGGTTTGAATTAGGAAACTCTATTATATAGTTAGGATAGTACGGGCACGAACGGTGAGCTTGCAATGATAGAGACATGTAAATAATTGTCCAAGGTATTAAAAAAGTTCTCTATCATTGCAAGGTCACCGTTCGCCTCGCTTCGATGCAAAGGCATGGCTGCCTCTCGAGATGGCGCCGGTAACTGTTAAAGGGACTATTGCTTCGAGTGGAGGTAGAATCATTGAGAAAACTTTCGCTTGATTTTAGCTTTTTCCATGAGCAATTGGACCCGGAAATACGTCACTCAAAACCTCTGTGGAAAGATGATGATGAGATGGACACGAAAGAAACACGTCTACGCATGCTCTAGTTGCATATGCAATTAGTCGAAACCCCTTCATGCTATTGTAAAAATATGTAAATTTGACTTTCAAACATGCCTGACAAATGGACACAAAATGCCAAAATTTAGAGTCAGTGCTTGAAACGTAAGGCAAATTTCTTCGTATTGTCTTTATTAATACATTATCTTTGTCTCACAAAAGTATACTCGCCAATTTTCTTTAAATACTCGGAGAAAACAAACAATAATTTTCTCAGTTAAACTCTTCAGAAGTGCTGAAAGGCACGCATGCGCAAACGTTTTTCTCTTGTGTCGGTGCAAACAATAACTCATAAACCTTCTCCATCCATCAGACTTGTCTGTTCACCATCTCCTTGAGACACGAGTTGTTCTTGTTTTCTTTTCTGAAAATGTTTCCAAAATTTAAACTATTTATGACTCTAATAGAGAGTATTTTCCTACCCTACCAAGTGCATTTCATATAGTGTTAAAATTAGAGTCTTCAATATTTTATTTCTGGTTTGCAAATCAGGAATTGAATGGAATGAAAGCAAGGGGATGGAAAATGGATGGATTGACCGAGAAAAGGGGAAAACAGAAGAGCACCAATAATCGATCCAGGTGATTTCGATTTGACAGCTTATCAAAAACCAGCCAATCATCGCGCAGGAAGAAATCTGATCAGGCGGTCCATCGAAAAAAAACAGTCAGTAAAAATTATTCTGAGTCTTTGTTTCCCTAGCTACGTTATAGACTAGCAATGTATCAAACATTCTACCTATTCTTATAACGAATACCTATGAGTCAAATGGTGCGTTGTGGTTTCAATTCTTTTATGAAATTATCGTGAAATGATAACTATTTGTTCGCCGATAAACAACTGAAACTAGGAACGCCTGATCAACTACAGCAATCCTTTGCGCGCGTTCCCCGAGATCACCTGGATGGGTAAAAACAATTCTTGGGTTGTAACCATATGGTCGTCCCCATTTCCATACTGCAAAATCAGAAGTCCCTCATTAACCACAATTCGTGCGACTGTTTAGCATACGTACCCTTTTCTTCATGATTCGCTTCCATTCTCTTAGCTCAGATTCATAGGTTGCTAGCTGCTGTTGATATTCTGATTCAAATTCCTCTCTAGAAACAAGGCGATAAGGGACCAGGTCAATGTTTTAATCAAGACATTATGAGATGCCGAGGGGGCAACTATTGGAAAATGTATAGACTGCACAGCTGTCAGCTTTACTGAGGGAAAATAGACCATTTGGTTGTGAGTCCTGTCATGGCTGCCATCTCGTGATGGTGCAAAGCCTCTATATGAACAAAATTGCGCCTCTTTCAGAAGATACTTACATTCTTTCTCGTAGCTCTTCTTCCAGTTCTATTCGATATAACTCCACTTCATTTGGATCCGCCTCTTCTCTAAAAAATACCAAAGATGAACACAGTCGTAAATTGTAACAAAAAACAAAAGGGTTTTATTCCGCGCTCCGTTCAGCAACACAGCATGCAGGATGCGACGAAAGGATGCGACTAAAGAAGCTCGTGCCGTGGACAAATACTTCTCACACTTCTTGAGTGCTTTCAACGCTTCCAAAGTGTTTTTTTTATTTTTTATTCTTATTTTTTATTCTTTATTCTTTTTAATATAGGAGAACACTTCCTTGCAAAATTCGTTGCGTGCGTGGATGGTGTCAGTAAAGTGCTCCGTTCACCTAATACAGCAAAGTTCTCAACCAATCAGAGCACGCGTAATGAAATAAGATAAGAGTAAGTGGTTTGAACCCTGCTGTTGAAGTTTGTTGTGAACATAGTTAACATTAATATTAATATTATATAGTTGATCTATTAACTATGGTTGTGAAGTGTGATCATCCGGGAAAGTGTAGTCTTGAGAAAGACTGTTGTTGGTGGTGACTGACATTTCGACAACTTAGTTAGTGAAAACTTAGTGAAAACTTAGTCAAGCAAATACATTCCTACTTACTTATGTATAACTAGTTTGATAGGAGTGGTAGTGTAACCCTGGGCGTCACGTAGAGACTTGATGTCCTTCCAGCACCTAATGGAAAGAAAGATCATATTTAACAATTTTTTGCCGAAGGCGAAGTGGTTATCGGTGAATATTAACCGAGGTGCGAGGTAAATATTCACCAATATCGCTAGGTCTAAGGGGAATAATTGTTTGGTATAATTTTATTCTCAAAATATAAGGCAAAAGACAAAATTCAGGATTGACAAAAAACTTTTTAATATTTCTTCACCTCTGGCAAACTTTGGAGTTTTATTTTTATCGATCGTAGCAGCATAACAAATTTTTCTTTGAGAAACACCGAAGGCAAACTAGCTATTCCTAGGCCACGCACCAATTATCTAAAGAACAGTTTTAGCTATGATGGTGCAGTGCTATGACATCCTTCCATGTGAGTTGCGTCAAGCAAGCACTCGGAGTCAATTTCGAATAGGCTGCAGCAACTTCTTCAATTGAATTTTATACACGTAGTAAACACGGCACTCTTGGAAAGCAGGTACTCTTTTTATTATGTAATTATATTGTATTATTATTAGCCTTTAGTTAATTAACTTGTAGTTAGCTTAGTATACGTTGTAAATAGAATTAAGTTGTTTTAGTGTTATACTAATTGTAAATCTTGAAGAGTCTACCGTGTCTAAATAAAGCATCTATCTATCTATCTATCTATCTATGAATGAATGAGGGTTTTAGATGGTTAATGATATTTAGTACACTTACTGCAACATGCTCTTTATCAGTGTTCTATCACTATAATCTTCTGTGTCTCTTAGTCTGCGAACGTCCCTGAAACATAATAAAACTATCGGTCATTGTGTTCGTAACAGAATTCAGGCTCGCTAAACAAACAAGAACAGAATAGAAATCATCTCTTGATGTGCGGGGGACTAAAGAAAGTGTTTGTAATATGGCAGTTTCAGTAACATAGGTGTCCGTATTATATAGGACTGTTGTTATGTGAATAGGTCTACTGTTCGTAATGGCACAGTGTACGTATGAAAGAGGTCTGTTCGTAATGACAGTGTCGGTATTATAGAGAGTTTAAAGATGCGGACACACGGTGCAACATTTCACGCAACATTGCACGCAACAAATTTGAACCGGGGTGACACACGTTGCAACAAAATCACGCAACATCGCTTGTGTCAGCGCGCTATGCTAAGAAAATTGGTCAGCGGTTATACATTTCTTGCAAGCTGATTGGTTCGAAATTTCAAAATGTTGCACGCAATGTTGCAGCCCTGTTCACACGATGAAATTCGTTGCGCGCAATGTTGCAAGAGTAGAAATCGATTCAACTTTAGATTTGTTCCATGCAGTGTAGCGTGCAACAAGTTCAGGGGTAGACACACGTTGCAATAGTCCTGTTGTGTGCAATGTTGCGTGCAATGTTGCACCGTGTGTCTTAAGCTTAAGAGAACTCAGTGAAGAATAAAGTTTTCGTCTGAAGCGGTTTCCTTGTTACAGATGTACGTGTACCAGTTGAACTGTTTTTGACACGAATCATGCATGATATATCGAGTGTTAGTGTGATGTGCACTCACTTGATTTGCTGGAGATAGTCTCGTGCTCGCTTCTCTCTGTCAGTAGCTTCTTTATTCTTATTACTTCTTCTCTGTTAGATAAAAAGAAATGTTTGATATGAATATATGTGTATCACATTGTTCATATGAAACTAAACCACGTGATTTCGCTTATTTATCTCAGCCCGAATGAATTAGCCAATCAGCGAATATTTTTTTCTCATTTTCGTAGCTCACTATTTCCTAGTTCTCCATGATTTCGGCTCGATAAACAATAGCTTTTACCTCAAAATAATAGCAAAAATAAATCTTTTCCCGTGGAAAGATTCACATAATATCTTTATCCGCAAACCCCCTACCCCCTTCACGAAATCGAAATAATCTTTTTGAAGCTCTATTGCAATATAGTGTGACGTCACTTGTAAGGGAAAACGACTTCCGGGTCCAAAACGAAAAGCATTTCTAATGTTCTTCTTAATTTTTACTTCATAGAGGATCTGTTTGTCCAAAGTTTCTGGTAAAAGTTAAATTACTGACAACATTTCCTCCTCTATTTTAGCGGTTTTTGTAAGTAGTTGGACCCGGAAATACGTCACAGCTTAACAGCTCAATACAGTGTCATATACTATGTATACTTACTGCTTCCATCTCTCCCTCTTGGATTTGTCTTCGAGCAATCTTTAAAGCTGTGAGCTGCAAGACAAGGCAAAAATATTACAACTTATTACCAATGTCTTCAAAAACAACACAAAAGACTCGTCAAAGTAAGGATATTTACTTTAGAACAAAAATTATCACATTTTTAGCATAAAATACATTTTTTTCTTTAAACAAAAAGACTACCAGAGCTGCAATCGAAATGTCATGTTTCATAAACTATTTAAACGCGTGAAAACCGTAAAGCCTCTTTTTAAGGCCCCGTCCACACGTGTCCGGAAATTTTTGTATCCGTATCCGGAAATTGTCGAAAACGGTCTCCAGAGTGGACATTTTCGAATACGCTCCGAATACGGATACGTGTGGACGGTCGTATCCGCAAATTTTCGAATACGATGACGTAAACACGATTTTGCGCATGCTCAATAAGAAAAACTATCCGTCAAAGGGACTAGGCACTAGCGTGCATCAGGGCGGATCATGATATTTCCGGATACGTGTGGACAGCGAAAACGATTCGAATACGCTGCGTGTGGACGCGAATATTTTCGTATCCGCAAAAAAAAATTTCCGGATACGTGTGGACGGGGCCTAACTCTATTGTTAACGTCTCTTTTTCATTATGAAAACGAACAAACCGTAACGACGGAACAAATAATCTAATGAGCCCTATAAAGTCTCAGTTCCTCACCTTGTCTGTAAGGTGCGCAGACAAGGCCTTCTTGCGTCGTTGACAGTACTGTTTGTACAGCTGTTGAAGGCGCGATGCCAGTACGTGTTCCTTACTGAATAAAGGATGATGGGTGAAGGTGATGGTAGAACTATCTACATCCAGCTGGTACTGACCCTCTGGGATCCCTGACACAATACATATCGGTAAAGAACGGTTAAATAGATCCTTCTCCTTCTCCCTCTCCTACTCCTCCTCCTCCTCCTCCTCCTCCTCCTCCTCCTCCTCCTCCT